GAGAAAAATCAGTCCATATGTTTAGACTAACCATGCATGCAAACCAAGAAATAAATATAAAGGAGGAAGAGGTAGAGAACAAAACAACGAAATTAAGCTTTGAGTGTCTAATAAACTTGACATTTTAAATAGGCACCTTGAAATTTCCATGTGCTGGTGACAATGATAATAATTGAATGCATAAGAGATAAGTCTATTAAAAATAGTAACTAAAGCTGTTGAGAGCTTTAAAATTCAGATTTTTGTTTTAAATTCAAGGTTTGTGGCCCCTCCTCACTGCAGCCCTGCATCTGGTGAGGCTATGGAGGGACCTAGCTGGGAAGCCCACCAAACCCCCCGCTGGGGCCTGGGCCACAGGTATCAGGATCCCTAGGGGCAGGCCCTTTTGGTTTTAGGGAGCTCTTCTGTAAGAGAGTCCCCCTGTTTGTGAGGCCCAGAAGCAGTCACATAGAGCTCCCTTTTCCAGTCCAGGGCCAGAAGGAAATATAAAGTCCTTTTCTTTTGTTAGAGGTTTCATTTACATAACATAAAATTTGCCATTTTAAAGCATACATTTCATTGGCATTCAGTGCAATCACAATGTTGTGCAATTACCTGATATATCAAGTTCCAAACTGTGTTGTTGTTTTTTTAAAAATTATTTTATTATTTATCAATTTGTTTTTCAACGTTTTTTTTTAATCCTTACCCGAGGCTATTTTCCATTGATTTTTAGAGAGAGTGGAAGAGAGAGGGAAAGACAGAGAGAAATATCGGTATGAGAGAAACATCGATTGGTTGCACTTGCCCTGGAGCCTGCAACTGAGGTAAGTGGCCTTAACCGGAATTGAACCCGGGACCCTTCAGTCTGCAGCTGACGCTCTATCCACTGAGCCGAACTGGCTAGGGCCCAAACTGTGTTTTATCATCCCCAAAAGAACACCCTGTGCCCAGTCAACAGCCACTCCCACTCTCCCCGCCCCCCAGTCCCTGGCAACCACCATTCTGCATCCTATTTCTATGGATTGACTTATTTTGGATATTTCGTATAAACTGAATCATGTAATATGTGATCTTTCATGCTTGGCTTCTTTCACATAACATGTTTTCAAGGTTAATCCACGCTATCACATGTATCAGTACTTCATTCTTTTTTTATGCCTGAGTAGTATTATACTGTAGGTGTATACTACATTTTGTTTATCCATTCATCCTTTGATGGGTCAAAGGTGCTTTGGGGAGGTGCCCTGTGCTCATATTCTTTAAGTGGCTAGGAGATTATGAACATAATTCTGTGCCAGCTATATAATAACAACCATCCAATCAGAAATCCTGGTTCAGAATGCTTTAGAACTCTAGCTTTTTAAAAAAAATTATTTATTGTTGAAAGGATTACATATGTCTGTCTCCTTTTTACCCCATTGATCTCTCTCAGCCCGCTCCCGCCCCCCAGCACAGAATTCTAGCTTTTTTTTTTTTTTAATTAATATATTTTATTGATTTTTTACAGAGAAGAAGGGAGAGAAATAGAGAGTTAAAAACATCGATGAGAGAGAAACATCGATCAGCTGCCTCCTGCACATCTCCCACTGGGGATATGCCCGCAACCCAGGTACATGCCCTTGACCGGAATCGAACCTGGGACCTTTCAGTCCTCAAGCCGATGCTCTATCCACTGAGCCAAACCGGTTTCGGCAGAATTCTAGCTTTTTAAGTTTAGAAAAGGACTGTTGAATGGATGGATGGAAAGATGGGTGGGTAAATGGCTCAGAAGATAAAAAAGTTGAGAGGTTACATTTATTAAAGGGAAGAGCACTAAACTTAAAAGACTCCAGCTCCATGTTTGCCACAGAATAGCTCCCTTGCATATAATTACTTCACCTCTGTGTGCCTTCATTTTCTCACATGGAAAGCTAGGCTCTTAGACCAGATGGTTTTTTGTGATCCCAGGAGACCCCCCCCTCTGCAATAACCTCCTGGGATAGAGGGAATCCTGGCTGGCTGGGCTGAAGTATAGGTAGGTTACACAGAGGCAGAAAAATAGACCAGCTCATTTCGAGACAGATTCGTCTGACCTGGGTATTCTATCATTGCTTCCCAATTTGAGTTGGGTTCATCAAAGGCTTTCTTTTTGACCTCATAGAGCCCCTTATCTTCCCATACCTAATTCCTACTACACCCCAGTCCTGCCTCATTGTCATACAATGTCCTTTAGATATTCTGCTCCAGTTGTGCCTATTAAAAGCTTTATTTTCACAAATTTATGACTTTCTTTCTCTGGTAAAGCAATTGGACTCCCAAGGCCAGACTCTGGAGCTGGGAAGCTGAGAGGCTGACTTGCTTCACCGCCCAAGTTCTCCACAGGCCAGCACAGGTGCCTGAGCTGACTGTTAGTGGAGGCCATTTCCCCACCCAATTACCACCAACTTGTGGGTTATTTTCTCCACAAACATGTGTGCAGCAAGTTGCCACAGAAATTAAAGCGATTTGTTGGCACTGGGATCCAGAAAATAAAGCATGAGCCAAGCTTAAAAATACTAGAGCAGCCGTGGGCAAACTAGGGCCCGCAGGATGGATCCGGCCCGTTAAATGAATAAAACAACAACAAAAAAGACCGTACCCTTTTATGTAATGATGTTTACTTTGAATTTATTATTAGTTCACACAAACACTCCATCCATGCTTTTGTTCCGGCCCTCCGGTCCAGTTTAAGAACCCATTGTGGCCCTCGAGTCAAAAAGTTTGCCCACCCCTGTATTAGAGGTAAGGGAGGGATAGGGCAATCAAGAGACATATAAAAGATTTTTTTCATGAAAGGTTGAGGAGGAAGCTTCTTGCATTATGGAGAAGCATCTCCATGATGGAGATGGTGCTGGAGAGAGAGGACAAGGCCTCTAGATACTGGACTTGACCCCACCGAGGCTGGCATTCATTGTCTGGTACGGGCACAAGAAACTCTTGAGGTTCTCTGTCCACTATTTCCTCCCCACTAATGAAGACTAACAAAAATTTAGTTAGGCCATGTAATCTGACCCATTAGTATGCATCTTCCCTACATCAGAGGGCGGTTATGTTGGGCCATGAGTTGGCCTCATAGAACACCGTAATAGTAACAAGCTAGGGGTGGCAATTGCTTTGACTGCAAATAATTTTTTTTCCTTTTTGTGCCTAAGCTAGTCCTGAAGGACTGATCCTATTTCTGGAGAGCCTAGCCTAGTCCCAAAGGGCCCAGCCCAGGCTGCAGGGTGGAGCCTAGCCCCAAAGAGCCCAGCCTAGCTCCAAAGAGAAGAGCCGAACCTAGTCCTGAATAGCCAAACTCAGTCTCGAAGGGCAGAGCCTAGCCCTCAACAGCTGAAGCCAGTTCAGAAGGGCAGAGTGTAGCCCAAAAGAGCAGAGCCCAGACCCGAAGGGCAGAGCCTAGCCTGGAAAGGTGGAGTTTAGCCCATAAGAGCCCAGCCAAGGCCTAAGAGCCGAATCTAGTCCCAAAGGGCGGAGCCTAGCACTCCCCTCAACCCCCCGAATTAATGACTTTTAATGTTCATATCTCATATAATAAAAATGAGTACCTTCCATTTCCCTATATTTATGAGACAATTACATTTCCTTTTGGTGAACTATCATTAACTAGACTTAAAAGTGCTTATGTTTCAGCTGGAAAAGTTTTAATTTCTTGAGTTCCTGGAGAGCTTCCATTCATTTCTTTATGTCATTTTCATATAAATCTAGGCTCTTAATCTGTCTTACTGCTGTTTTATGTCCAAGGTCTTAGAACCCTTGATGGCACAGATAGACACTTAGATCTATTTATTAGATAAACAAGTGTATGTATGTTACAGTAAAAAACTAGAAACAATCTGTAGGCAGATTAAATATGGCCACAAATTATTTATAGCTCCTCCCATGTACAGGTAGATTAATTTCCCCACCCCTTGAATCTGTGGTAACCTTGTGATTTGCTCTGACCATTACACTGTGCAGAAGTGTCTGCTGTTCTGAGACCTGACCTTGAGAGACATTGCAGCTTCTGCTCTGGCTCCTTTAGAATATTTCCACCATCATGAAGAGCCCAGCCTGGTCTACTATAGGATGAGAGGCAAACCAAATGCAAGAAGTTATAAGGCCACCTTAGACTATGCAAGTTGAGGTGAATAGAGCAGACCCATCCACCTGTGTACACCCAGCCTAATGGTCTCATAAACATATATGTGGTGGTTGTCTTAAGGCCCCAAGTTGTGGTGTGGTGTTTGTTATGCAGCAATAGATACTGATGTAAACTTCAATGTTCAATATGTGACTAGCTAAAGACATTATGGGTCATCCCTACCAGGGAACATTCTGTAGTTACAACTTCAGATCTGGAAAGATGTTCAAGATACATAAATTAAAAAGTTTCAGTCTTGAGATCTCAAAATTTAGACCTACAAATGCCAGTGGTATAGACATTCGCACAACCCTATTACTACTATAATACAGGTACTATTACTAACCCTATTTTATAAATGGGAAAACTGAGTCCCAGAGAGGTTAAGTAGTTGTGCAAAGTTCAGATAGCTAGTTAAGTTGCTGAGCTATGGACTGAACCTAAAGGCTGCAAAGCCTGTGCTCTTAACACATGATGCTGTACTGTTGACTCTAGCACTGCCAACTCCATATCTCCACTTTATTCTATTTATAGTCTTTCCCTGCTTCATTGTATTAATCCAAAACCTGCATTTCAACAATTAATTTTCTGAATTTTAGTGGTGTCAATTATTATCTGAGTAGACCAATCTCAGAAGTTTATAACCTTAACATAAGGAAAATCAGCTAAAAAAAAAAAAAAGGCCTTACACATATTCTTATATAAAACATGTCTATAGGAAAGAGTAAGAAAACAAACAGGAGTAAAGCCTGAGAGCAATAAACAGGCATTATCCAATAGGCTAACTTTACAGGCTAGTGACCTAATGATTTAACAAATAAAACAAACACAAAAACAAGAAGCTAACCCTAAGAAAAATAATCAACAAAATAATATTTACCTTTGGAATCAGCATTTGGGAACAGCCTGTTCCATGGCACCTTATTTTTGTGTGGGAGAGAAAGCAAATAGTTTCTAGCTTTTAGGTTGATTATGCAGTTCAGGTCTTCCTGTGATGGGGATCCAAGAATACCTATTAGATAAAATAAATACCTGTTAATTATCAAGACCAAAGTAAACTGACCACACACCATCAGCTGTAGGGCAGAATGGACTTTGATAATTAAGGTCTTCTCACACCACCTTGCCAATACTTACCTTTCTTATTAACAAGTTTTTTTTTTACAAGGGTCTTATCATTTTGAATCAAGGACCATTAAAAACTCATGTCTGTCGTAGGTGAGAGAGCTGTTAAAACTCTTAATTTAATGACTCTATAAACTGATGAAATAAATAAATCTAGTCCCCAATGAGCTCTTACCCAGAATGTGGTTCAGCTGGTCAAGGTAATGCTTCCCTGGGAAGATGGGCCTGTTGGAGAGCATCTCTGCCAGAATGCAGCCTACAGACCAAATATCAATGGACTTGGTATAGCCCTGCAATAGGAAGGGAGAAAAGATGGAAAATGATATCTGGTGTTACAAGACAAAATGAGATCTTCCTACATGACAGGCACATGATTGTCAGGAGTTTTAGCCTCTCCTTTGGCTCTATAATTCAAAAATAAATGAAAAAGATAGAGAAACCAATAATAATTTTGTTTTCTTAAAGGATGTTGAACAACCAAGACTACTTAATCTTATTGATCTTCAAAGTTGATCATGTTATTATGAAATAAGAATTTCCAAAGTATACTTCATTCTTTTCAAATAATTTGAGAGAAAAAAATCAGCATCCTTAGAAATTGAAGCTAGAAACAAGAAAAAGCAATCACACCTATTAGTTTAGAACATTCGTAGCCTATTAACTCATTTTGGAAACTTAGAAACTAACTCAAAAGGGGCACTGTTACACTTATAGAATATTTTTATCCATTTTGCAAATCATTTTTTAAAAAGTCAAGCTGAGGCCCGGCCAGTGCGGCTCAGTGGTTGAGCATTACCATGAACCAGGCGTTCAACGGTTCAATTACTAGTCAGGGCACATGCCCAGGTTGTGGGCTCAATCCCCAATAGGGGGCATGCAGGAGACAGCCAATCAATGATTCTCTCATCATTGGTGTTTCTATCCCTCTCTCCCTCTCCCTTCCTTTCTCTGAAATCAATAAAAAAAACAAACAAACCCCAAAACACCCCCCATGAATCTCAATCTCCACAGAAGCTCTCAATGCTTTCCAACTGTTTCCTAAGCCTAACAAAGATATCATACTTTGCTTTTTCTTGCTTTTATATATTTATTCAATCAATTATTTTTTCTGACCAAGATTCAGACTTGTAAGAAGAGTTTGCCTGTTTACTGGATGCACTCTTCCACAGCCACTTGGAGATCAGAGGAACACATGTCATTTGGAAACAGGATTATATCATTTTAAAGAATCCACAGCAGTTCTTATCCTTTCCACACCTATGTTTTCTCCAAATTATATTGTAATTTTGCTGAAGAGTCATTCTTTTTTATCAGCTAAATCTGATAACCTCTAACACCAACCCAGCCTACACTCAGCAGTGGCAGCAGCAGGTGTAAAAGCTGTCACAGCCCTAGCCCATTTGGTACAGTGGATAGAGCATCGGCCTGTGGACTGAAGGGCCCTGAGTTCGATTCCAGTCAAGGGGACATACCTTGATTGCAGGCTCCTCCCGGCCTGGGCCCTGGTCGGGGCTCAGGCAGGAGGCAACCAATCAATGTGTTTCTCTCACATCGATGTTTCTGTCTTTCCCTCTCTCTTCCACTCTCCCTAAAAGTCAATGAAAAAAATCCTCAGGTGAGGATTAACAACAACAACAAAAAAGCTGCCACGGGTGGAACATCCGTAGAGCTGACCAAAGACAAAGACCAATTATTGTAACAGTGACCAGAGAGGCACACTCTCCAACTCTTACACGTCAGCACTACTCCAGCTGAGGCCAAAATCCAGGGCCCAGAGTTCAATGCTAAACAGAAGATTATGACAGCACCTTGGTTCTGCCCAAACAGGCCAAGACTGAACCCAAGTGGAAACAGGTTTACTGAGAGGGAGGCTTATTCTCTTTATATGCAAACTTGCTCCTTACCTTGGAATTCAACATAATTTCTGGAGCCCTGTACCAACGTGTGGCTACATACTCTGTCAGGAACCCTGTGTGATCATGGTCTGGATCTGCAACGCGGGCCAAGCCAAAATCACAGATCTAAGAGAGAAAAAAATGGACACCTTAGAGATTCTAACCAATTTAATATTAAAATATCATAAAATAAAAAAGATAATAGCAATAATATCAGTAATAAGTAGTTACTACTATTACTATGTGGCAGGTACTTTGCTGGGAATTCTACATACTCATTCTTATTTTATTCTCACAACCTGAAGGCAGTGATGACAACCCACGTTAGAGACAAGGAACAGGCTGAAGGAGTCTGTAATAGGACACATTTTAAGAAGCATCCCACCTTTCATTATCTGCTTACCCCACAACAATCTCATTTAGGTTGTTTGAAAAAAACTGTCCTGAGGAAAAATAAAGTCACCAAAAACCACCCAGGATCCTTTCTAGGTCCCCCACCTGCTGGCACTCCCAGGATCATCATTGCTAAATTCAGCTCCTCAACCTGCACTTCTACTTCTCAGACTTCACTTCCTGCTATTCTTCCACCTATTCCGTAAATGTAGGCATTTCCAAAGATTCTTTCCACTTTCCTCGCAGACAGATTCACTCCCAAAGCTTTAAAGAGGCTTCATATACTGAAGTCAAACCATTTTCCCCTTAATATCCAGCTTCTCATTTCTCCTGACTCACAAAAAGTACTGCTGATCCTCCATCACCTGGCCATTTCATATCTGATGCTATTCCAGACTCCAATGTACATAAAATATAACTGTAATATACTTAGTCCAATACAACTGCATGATAAATAACCCAAGAAAGAGAGAAGCGTGTTAACAACGACAGGTCAAAGTATAGAAGGCAGCCTGGAAGACAGAGACTAATTTGGAGGGTTGATGCTTTAATTCAGCTAAGAAGTGATAAGGGCCTGCACTCAGGCCATAAAATGGAGACAAGGGGAAGAGACATTAAAAAAACAAAACAAAAAAAAAAGGAGGAGGAAGGGGCATGCCTAAGAGATATACATAGGGCTTAAATGAACATTAATCTCTGTTTAGATATTACATGTAGAGTGCCTCAATAATTCAGAAAAATACAGAAAGCTCCCATCCACCTCACAAATGTCTTCCCATAGCCTTGGACAATAGCATTGTCTTGTAGCACCCCTGATCCCACAGGCCCTGCTGCTTGCTTCAACTGTAGCATTCAAGGAGAGTTAGCTATCTGTGTTTCATAATTTCCATCTTTTGACATATTGTCACTGTATCTTCAAAAAGAGCAAATAGCACATCTGCTCCAGTTACTCTTCCCAAGGCCACTTTCTTTCTTTTTAAAAAAAATATATTTTATTGATTTTTTTACAGAGAGGAAGGGAGAGGGATATAGAGTTAGAAACACTAATGAGAGAGAAACATGGATCAGCTGCCTCCAGCACACCCCCTACTGGGCATGTGCCCGCAACCAAGGTACATGCCCTCGACCGGAATCGAACCTGGGACCCTTGAGTCTGCAGGCCGACGCTGTATCCACTGAGCCAAACCGGTTAGGGCAAGGCTACTTTCTATGTGTGCTCTCACAGAGTTGCATGGTGATGAAGTCCTGGGTCCTGCTCCAAAGCTCTGACAGCTAACTCCAGTCACTGTACTCACCGTTCTCACCTTTCAAAATTGAGTTGCTTGCCAATGCCAATACACCCCTGACACCCATGGGCCTGTTAGAGGATCTAGTTGATAAATGGCCATAAGTGTTTTAGGGGGATCATAAGTTTTAACTTTGGCTTGACTTGAGACTTTCATGTACCTGCACCCTAATTGTAGAGCCTTTGCTACCAATACCTGTGAAACAAACTGCAGGAAGCCACCTTAGTATTTGTACCCACAAGGTTCACTAGCAACATGATCCCATTTGGCACGATTTCCAACTTAGAGTAGCAATGAATGATGGATGTCTTCTTACATATGAAGGAGAATCCTCTATGCTATTCAGAGCCTCACCTACCATGCTGGACTACCACCGACCCATTTCAATTGTGTGTGGCTCGAACTTTTTTTTTTTTATTAGTTAAGGTATTACAAATGTGTCCTCATCCCCCCCATTAACCCCAACCTCCCCCCCCACACACACACAAACTCATGCTCCCATCCCCCTGTTGTCCATGTCCATTGGTTTGGCTTATATACATGTATACAAGTCCTTCGGTTGAATACATCTGTGACTCATCGTTTCTCTCTTTTTTAGAGCTAACACTCTATCTTCTAACTCAGCCTGCTTTCTGTAGTGTAAATGGATACCTGAAGCCACATTCTGAATTGTGCAGAGAAGAAATACTGCATCCTGTCAACAGCAAAAAACTAGCATAAGTCTGAGATCATGACCACAAATACTACACTAGCATCACACAGACTGGATGGACCTAGACTTGATACACAGCTTTCCGTGGGTCTGTTGAATCACAAAACAAATCCCAGATAGATTTTTTTAAAACCAGAAAAGAAATTCACAGACCAATGAGGTTATAAGTGTCACCACACTCCTCTGGACTTAGCAAAAGCTAGTCTCCCTGCCTGCAATCTAATTCATTCTCTAAATCTTACCTAAGTGTCATTTCTAAAATGTAAGTCACCTCTCTGGCTCAAAAACCTTTTAACCTTTACATACTGAAGCCCATATTCTTTAAGCATGACTTTCAAGGCCATTCACTGTCCGTATCTCGTCTCTCCCATTGCCATCTTTGTCTCAGACCTGCTCCTATTTACTCCAGACCATATTGACCATGCAATGCCCTTTCAACTGTGTGCCCTACCTATGCCATTCCAACTTAAATACCCAGCTTGAAAGTTACTCTTCTGAGAAGTTTCCCAGGAGTCAGCACCACTTCCAAGAACTGCTCACTTTTCTGAACTCTTTTATTATCTTGTTAGAAGTTTATTATATGTAAGTACACAACCATAATCCATGATAGTTGTGCATATCCTTGTCTCCCAAGCAAGAATGTAAGTTGCGCCCTAACCGGTTTGGTTCAGTGGATAGAGCGTCAGCCTGTGGACTGGAGGGTCCCAGGTTCGATTCTGGTCAAGGGCATGTACCTTGGTTGCGGGCACATCCCCAGTAGGAGGTGTGCAGGAAGCAGCTGATCAATGTTTCTCTCATCGATGTTTCTAATTCTCTATCCCTCTCCCTTTCTCTCTGTAAAAAAATCAACAAAATATATTTAAAAAAAAAAAAAAAAAAGAATGTAAGTTGCCAGAAAAAGGCAATACTTGACTTACTTTTTTTTAATTTTATTGATTTTTTTACAGAGAGGGAGAAGAATAGAGACTTAGAAACATCAATGAGAGAGAAACATTGATCAACTGCCTCCTGCACACCCCTTACTGGGGATGTGCCCGCAACCAAGGTACATGTCCTTGACCGGAATCGAACCTGGGACCTTTCAGTCCACAGGCTGACGCTCTATCCACTGAGCCACACCGGTTAGGGCTTGACTTACTTTTTTTTTTTTTTTTTAAATGGTAGAGGCCAGATAATTTTTTTTTTTAATATATTTTATTGATTTTTTACAGAGAGGAAGGGAGAGAGATAGAGAGTCAGAAACATCGATGAGAGAGGAACATCGATCAGCTGCCTCCTGCACATCTCCTACTGGGGATGTGCCCGCAACCCAGGTACATGCCCTTGACCGGAATCGAACCTGGGACCTTTCAGTCCGCAGGCCGACGCTCTATCCACTGAGCCAAACCGGTTTTGGCAAGCTTGACTTACTTTTTATTCCCAAGTGTCCTATACATAGTGAGCTCTCAACATTTGATGAACAAATTCCTTACTTTAAATGTCGTAAGAAGCATAACAACTGGGGTGAATTAACTGGCAGACATTCTAGATCAGCAGGTCCTTGAATAACATCATTTTGTTATAATGTTGATAAAAAATTTAACTTTTGCTTATATCAATTAGACTATGGTAAAACCGGTTTCATTACATGTCATTTTGCATAAATTTGAAGAAACCATCAATGACATTAAGCGAGGATTTACTGTATTTTCACAATAATGAATTAACAAGCTCTTAAAAATCAGTGTAAAGGTTACCAGGCTAAAATATTAAATAATCTTGTTAATAAAATTACAGTGTTCAAAGTGGCAATATTAAGGAAGAAAAATTAAAAATTGGAATGAGCAGCACTCCTTCACTAGGAAAGACAACTGAACATATCACTATGCTGCAATACATGTTTCTTAAAGTTCAAACAAGGGTACAGGTGCTCCTCCTTGTCCTTTCCTTCCAGGAACTCCAGTCCAAAAGCTATTAGGTGGGATCAGGTGACCTAATGCTCTCTGTGGGGTGGGGAGAACTACAGCAGCCCAGGGGGATATGTAGCATCCAAGTGGAGTTAAGAGTGGGCTCCAGACTGAGACATGGTCTAGGTGTGAGATGAAGAGGGAATCCATGTGGGTAGGTAGTGGTAGCCCAGGGGATTAGTCTGAGGAGGGTTAACAATGGATCCATGGATTATAGTGCACAAATCAACATTAGAGGTTGCAAAACGTAATTTTTCTAATTTTATTATTCCTTCTGCATTTATTGACTGGCATTCTTTTTAAAAAATGTATATATATTTATTAATTTCAGAAAGAAAGGGAGAAGGAGCGATAGAAACATCAATGATGAGAGAGAATCCTTAATGAGCTGCCTCCTGCACGCCCCCTACTGGGGATCGAACCTGCAACCTGGGTATATGCCCTGACCAGGAATCACATGGGTGACCTCCTGGTTCCTGGGTCGAGACTCTCAACTGTTGAGCAACACCCAGCTGGGCCAATTTTAGAACATTTTTATAACTGCAAAAAGAAAGCTTGAACCCATTAGCAGTCTCTTCCCTATCCCACTGGTCCTCGGCAACCACTAATCTGTCTAGATTTTTCTGTTCTAGATATTTCATATAAATGGAACTATACAATATGTGGCCTTTTATGATTGGCTTTCACTTACAAAATAATGTTCATCCATGTTGTAGCATGTATCTGTGCTTCACTCCCTTGTATTCCATGTATGAATCTACCTCATTTTATTTTATCCATCATTTGGACATTTGAACTGTTTCTATATTTAGGCTATTTTGCTATGAATCTTCGTGTACATTTTGTGTCGTCATGTTTCATTTCACTTAGGCATATACACAGGAGTGAAATCCTCACACTTACCTGACTTATTATTTATTTATTTTAAAAATATACTTTATTGATTTTTTTTTAAGAGAGAGGAACGGAGAGGATAGAGTTAGAAACATCTATGAGAGAGAAACATCGATCAGCTGCCTTCTGCACACCCCTTACTGTAAATATGCCCGAAACCGAGGTACAGGCCCTTGACCGGAATCGACCCTGGGACCCTTCAGTCCGCCACTCTATCCACTGAGCCAAACTGGTTAGGGCTTAACTGACTTTAATTACAGCTATCCTACTTTGTATGAAGTGATATCTTATTGTGGTTCTGATTTGCATTTCCCTACTGACTAATGTATTTATTGGACATTTGTGTATTTTCTTTAGAGAAATGTCTATTCAGATCCTTTGCCCGTTTTTAAACTTGGTTATTTATCTTTTGGGCTTTTTTTTTTTTTTTTTGGTTATCTTTTAATTTTTGAATTGTAAGAGTTTATCATGTAGTCCAGGTATATCTTATTGAAATACATGATTTACAAACATTTTTTCTCATTTTGTGTGTTGTCTTTTCACTTTTTTGATGGCTTACTTTGTAGCACACGTTCCTAATCTTTTTTTTTTTTTTATGGCTTTATTAATTTTAGAAAGAGAAGGAAAGAGAGAGAAACATCGATTGGTTGCCTCCTGTACGCATCCCAACCGGGGACTGAACCCACAACAGGGGCATGTGCCCTAACTGGGAATGGAACCGGCACCCTTACTGTGCATGGGACAACACTTAGTCAACTGAGACACACCAGCCAGGGCACAAATTCCTAATCTTGATGAAACCCATTGTTTTTCTTTTGTTGCTTGTGCTTTTGGTGCCAATGTCTAAGAGGCTCTGCCTAATGCAAAATTGCAAAGATTTACTTCTATGTTTTCTAAATGGATTCTAGTTGTAGCTCTTAAATTTAGGTCTTTCATCCATTTTGAATTAATTTTTGCACATGATGTGAGGCGTGGCCCAATCTAATTCTTTTGCATATGGCTATCCAATTGCTCCAGGACCATTTGTTGAATAGAGTATTCTTTCCCCAATGAATGATCTTAGCATCCTTATCGAAAATCAGTTGATCATAAACCTATAGGTTTATTTATTGACTCTCAATTCTATTCCACTGATGAATATGACTACTCTTACGCCAACATCACACTTTTTTTTTATTATTACTCTATATTTTTAGTAAAGCTTGAAATTAGGAAGTGTCTTTCAACTTTATTCTTTTGTAAGGTTGTTTTCGTTATTCTGGGTCTCTTGAATTTCCACATGCATTTCAGGAACAACCTGTTCATTTCTGCAAAAAAGCCAACTGGGGCTTTGATAGGCACTGCATTAAATCTATAGATCACTTTGGGGAATATTAATACCTTAAAAGTATTAAGTCTTCCAATCTATGAATATGGTATATCTTTCCATTTATCGTCTTTTAATTTTTTTTGCAGGTAGGAAACACCTTTATTAGTAGCCTTAATTCATTCATCATGTAGTGTACAACATGGATCCCATGTCCAGAGGAGCTGTATCAATCTTTCCTGGCTGTGGCTTGCCCCTCCAGTCCAGATGCGAGGCTTCTGTCCATCATACCAGGGAAGCAAACCCTACCTTCCCAGGAGTTCCTGGAGTGCTGAGGGTCAAGACTGTCCCAGGATTGTGTAAGACTGTCCTAGGATTAGAACTTCAGTCTCTCCCATCTTGGCTAGGGTTCTGAATAAGACAAGGCAGGAGCCTGAATGATCAGTCATTGGTTTTATGATCATTCAAAAAAAAAAAAAGGAGTCTGAGAAGAGAAGCTGGGGTCCTTGGTCTGGGGAATCTCCTTGAGGTCCAAGCAGCTGTGTTTCCTTGAATTCTGCAGACCAGGCCATGGTGCCCCAGTGTCCTGTCCAGTCACTGGCTGGAGCTATAGGGTCAACTGAAGGTACATTCTTCCAAACAGCAGCGTGTTTCAGATCAGAGTTTTACCCACCAGATGTATGAAGGACAGAGGAAGTTGAGGGAGACGGTGACAGTGCAAGGTGGGAAGTCAGAGCAACAGGTGCCGATAGTACTGTGGCTGGGACAGGTACTGGGCCTGATGTACTCGGTAAGGGCCACCTGAGCCTTCTCCTTAAGATTTTCCATGTGCACTGGGTCTGAGAGGCCCAAGGCACTGGGTGTGAACAGCGTGATGGCCTTGAGGCAGAGGTACTCGACTGAATCGACCAGCAGGTAGTACAGCTTGTTTACCTTTCCTGGAAGGTGCATATCCAGTCCATGAAGGCTACAGGGCAATGGGCATGGCATGCAGACCAGTGATGGCCAGCAGTGGCGCTGTGTGCAAGGGCAGTACAGCCTGTGATGCATCCACTGTAGCTCAGGTGCAGCAGTGCCACCTGGTGGGCCACCAGCAGGTCAGGGAAGAAGGCCTATGGCACACCCAACTCCACCTTGCTGAAAGCAGCTCTGTTGCCTGCTCACACACTTGTCCATGTCCAGTACCACATCCACCCCTGCTGCTGCCAGCACAGAGCCCAGAGCCCAGGAGTCTACCTGAGGATATCTAGGTCTTCTTCTTCTTTTTAAAATATATTTTTATTGATTTCAGAGAGGAAGGGAGAGAGAGAAACAGAAACATCAACAATGACAGAGAACCACCGAAGGCTGCCTCCTGCACAGGATTGAGTCCGCAATCTTGGCATCTGTCCTGACCGGGAATCAAACTATGACCTCCTGGTTCATAGGTTGACACTCAACCACTGAGCCACGCCAACCAGGCTCTAGGTTTTCTTGAATGCACATTAATTCTTGTCAGACTGAATCCACATTCCTTTTTCTTACCTAAAACATCTGTAGATTTCCCTACTTATTTAGCTTTGCTACCTATTAAAATAGAAGTATATATATAGACTAGAGGCCTGGTGAACGAAATTCGTGCACTGGGGTGGGAGGGTTCCCTCAGCCCTGCCTGTGCCCTCTCACAGTCCAGGATCCCTCTCACAGTCCAGGAGCCCTTGGGAGGATGTCTATCCACCTACTCACTGCTCTTTACCACTCAGCTCACTACTCCTTAGCATTGCTGTGGAGGCAGGAGAGGCTCCCCGCACCGCCGCTGCGCTCACCAGCCGTGAGCCCAGCTTCTGGCTAAGCAGCACTCTCCCTGTGGGAACGCACTGACCACCAGGGGGCAGCCTGTGTTGAGCATCTGCCCCCTGGTAGTCAGTGCACGTCATAGCAACTGGTCGTTCTGCTGTTTGGTCATTTTGCATATTAGCCTTTTATTATATAGGATACGCTGCTCATATTCAAGGGAATTCTCAGGACTGTAAAGGATCTAGAGTTTTCCTGCTTACTGAAAATGCCTTATTTGGGTATTAAAGTCATTGAGGTTTCCTGACTATTCTTCTTATAAAATTTATTTAAGAAAACAGTCACCAATGAAACAGATGATTATGTTAACTTACACATAATGCACATGATCCTACTTTTATATCCTTCCTATATAATAAAAGTCTAATATGCAAATTAACCAAATGGTGGAACAACCGGGAACAACTGGTTGCTATGACACACACTGACCACTAGGGGGCAGATGCTCAACGCAGGAGCTGCCCCCAGTGGTCAGTGCACTCCCACAGGGGGAGCACCGCTCAACCAGAAGCCGGGCTCACAGCTGGCGAGCACAGTGGCGGTAGCCTCTTCTGCTTCCATGGCAGTCGGACATCCCCTGAGGGCTCCTGGACTGTGCAGGCTGGGCTGAGAGACGACCCCCCCCCCCCCGTGCACGAATTTCGTGCACCAGGCCTCTAGTATAAGCATAAAAGTACACATTATGGTCCAGCCCTTGTGGCTCAGTGGTTCAACGTCAACCTAGAAACCAAGGGGTCACGGTTTGATTCCCTGTCAGGGCACATGCCCAGGCTGCGGGCTGGATCCTCAGTAGGGGGCGTGCAGGAGGCAGCTAATTATGTTTTTCTCTCATTGATGTTTCTATCTCTCTATCTCCCTTCCTCTCTCTCTAAAAACCAAGAAACGTATATATTTTTAAAAGTATACATTATGTAAGAGCATAGAAAAAACACTGTAAGAAAATACACTAATCTGTTATAGTGGTTACCTCTGGAGAGGAAAGAACAATGGGATGGAAAAGAGAACTAGCACTCTTGAATTTTTTCTTTTTTGCCATAAAAATATTTTCACATATTTCTGGTATAATTTTAAATATGAGTAAGAATAAATAAAAACATGCCCAGTAAAAGTTTTTTCAATATGTATCATCCTAAAAGTAAAGAAACCTGGCTGACCTTGAGATCACAGGTGGTGTTGAGCAGCAGGTTAGAAGGTTTGAGGTCACGGTGCAGTACATTAGCTGAATGGATATATTTTAACCCTCTGAGGATCTGGTAAAGAAAATAGCAGATATGGTCGTTGCTGAGGTGTTGTGTCTTCAAGAGCTTGTAGAGATCTGTTTCCATGAGGTCCTGTACTATATATCTGTTTGGACAGGTTAAGGTAACACACCAAACAGCTGGTCACACTTAGCAAAGCACTGAAAACAAATGAACCCTTTCCTCAAGCAGTTCATTATTACATCATGAGGACCATAAGGGAAATGAGAAACTGATGAAAACTTAGTATTTTTTTATGTAAGGAATCTGAAGTAGTTAACTCTTTTTTAGATCTCGTGAGACAAACGGCATTATATTTGCTTGATAACGACCTATTATTTGCCTACATTAAGACCTGAAACAGGCTGTTATGGAAATATTCACCAATCTTGAAATCCTAACCTTGGTCTCCGAGTTGTCCAACATCAAAAAGCCCCTCCAACGCTTGTTGGAAAGAGCTGGGTGAAGGTGGTGACCAGCAAGCATCATACACTCCTTTCTTTGGCCCAGCAACAACTTGTAATGTCCCTGTTCTTCTACCTCCCTTCTTGTTCCCTTCTCCTCAAAAATCAACCATAAAACTTTTGGAAATACAGGCCTAAAACACACTGCTATTAAATTCAACCCTCAATCTATCTACTTGACTTTTTAATTAATGTTAAGATCCTAAATAAGACTATGAGAAAGGTGCTCGTGCTAGTTTTGCTTCTCTTGCTTTCTTTTCATGTATCTAAGCATCTATAACTTTAGTTATGGCTAAATTATTTACAGAAATTAAGTTATAAGCCTTTAGCTTTTTGTTGTTGTTGTTTGTTAATCCTCACCTGAGGATATTTTTCCCATTGCTTTTAGAGTAGAAAGGAGAGGTGGATGGGGAGGGAGAGAAAGAGAGAAAAAAAGAGAAACATCGATGTGAGAGATACATCCGTTGGTTACCTCTTGCACATGCCCCAACTAGGGCAGGGGATCGAACCCAAGATCCTTCATTGCACAGGCTGACACCCTAACCAGTGAGAAACACTGACCAAGGCAAGCCTTTAGCTTTTAACTTCACCATAATAGCATTTCATTAGTAATTATTTTGCATTTCTTTTATTTTTTATTAATCCTCACACAAGACTATTTTTCCATTGATTTTTAGGGAGAGTCAAAGAGAAAGGGAAAGACAGAGAAACGCCGATGTGAGAGAAACACATTGACTAGTTGCCTTCTGCATGAGCCCTTGACCAGGGCCTATGTTGGAAGTATGTGCCCTTGACCGAATCGAACCCGGGACCCTTTGGTCTGCAGGCTGACGCTCTATCCACTGAGCCAAATCGGCTAGGGCTATTTTGCCTTTCCTTTATTCATTTCTGTGTTCATATTAATGTATGTCTCCTACAGATTCATGCTAGATGAGACATGACATGGGATTCAAATGAAACCTTATTTGCAAACTTGTTATCAGAAAGAGATTTGATTTTTATGGCAAAAGGTAAAACAAGACAACAGCTGGTAGGAGCAGAAGGTATTTCACTTAAAATATGTTACAACTTAGTAACAGAGCTATTTAAAAATGGAAAGGGCTGCCTAGAGATAGTGAGCTACCTCTCCCTGGAGGCGCAGAATGCAAATTAGGCAAGCTGGTAGGAATCCTGCACTAGCTGAAACTGTAACTTTTCTGGCAGATCCTCTTCAGTATATTTAATGCCTTTATCTTCCAAATATAGTCTTTGCCCAGGTAGCATCCCCTGGACCTCCTTAGTCCAGATTTCTAAATGTTGGTCCTAGTTAATTACATAATTTCAGAGGAGAGTCACCTTAAAGATCATGAGGGGCTAGTACAGCCGTGGGCAAACTACGGCCCACGGGCCGTATCCGGCCTGTTTGAAATGAATAAAACTAAAAAAAAAAAAAGACCGTACCCTTTTATGTAATGATGTTTACTTTGAATTTATATTAGTTCACACAAACACTCCATCCATGCTTTTGTTCCGGCCCTCCGGGTCCAGTTTAAGAACCCATTGTGGCCCTCGAGTCAAAAAGTTTGCCCACCCCTGGGCTAGTACCTTAATTTTAAAGATGAGAAAACGGAGACCTAAAGGTAAAATGACTTTGTCTAAGATTAGGACTGTCTGGATTTGACCAGGTGATATCCAGAGTACCCTCTCTCTCTTTGTCTACAACTTATTCTTTTCTGTTTCATCGTCATAACAACTATATCTTGAATGAAGAAAGCATGACTAGAAATGGTATTATCCAAGACTTCCCATAACTACACGTAAAGGAAATCTTTACTGAAATTGACAAGAGAAAACTGAATTTGTCCAAAGACACTAAAAACAGAACTGATAAAAAGCATCAGAGCCGAAACCGGTTTGGTTCAGTGGATAGAGCGTCGGCTTGCGGACTGAAAGGTCCCAGGTTCGATTCCGGTCAAGGGCATGTACCTGGGTTGCGGGCACATCCCCAGTAGGAGGTGTGCAGGAGGCAGCTGATCGATGTTTCTCTCTCATCGATGTTTCTAACTCTCTATCCCTCTCCCTTCCTCTCTGTAAAAAATCAATAAAATATATTTTTTAAAAAAAAAGCATCAGAGAAAAATTTTATATAATGCAAGTGTTATAGTAAATGGCAAACATATTACAATTTCCCTTTAAATGTGCTCTATATACTTTTTCTTTAATCTGGTAAGTCCAAGACATTTCAAATTACATTTACTCAACAAGGTACCAAGTACTAGAGCCCGATGTCCGCAAAGGATACACATCTTTCATTTGCTCGATGGTTGGCGCTCGAATAATATCATTGATTCCAATGATGTTCTCGTGTCTGAAGCGCAGTAGGATTTTTATCTCCCTCAGGGTTCTCTGGCAGTAGGTCTGGTGCTCAAAAGGACTGATTTTCTTGATAGCTACTCGAACTTTGTTGACATTATCATAAGCAGAGCTAAAAAAAAGGAAAAGGAAGGGGTAAGAGATAGCATTAAAACAACTCAGAATATCCTGGTAGAAAGAATGCAAACTGGTAAAGTATTAAATGTTTAACACTCTGGTTAAATATTTGTTTAAAACATGTGAAGGCAGCATGTATTTATCCACAAAAAGGCCCCAAACTATGGGAGATGCAGCTGAAAAAAGGGAGCAGAGGGCCTGGCCCTGGTAATTGTGGATGCCCATTTTTATAAACCTGGCAACATGGGTTTATGACACACACACAAACATTTCCCACTGTTTTTTTGTTTTGTTAATCCTCACCTGAAGATATTTTTCCATTGATTTTTAGATCCTGGGAGGGAGGGAGGGAGGGAGGGAGGAGGGAGGGAGGGAGGGAGGGAAGAAGGGATGAGGAGGAAGAAGAGGTGGAGGAGGAGGAAGAGGAGAAAAGAGATTGATTGTGGCTGCCTATCACACCTGCAACCCTTCAATGCGCAGGTATGTGCCCTTGAAGAGGAATCAAACCTGTGACCCTTCAATGCGCAGGCCAAATGTTCTAACCACTGAAATACCAGCCAGGGTTTTCTCACTGATTTTAACAGCAATTGCATTCTGGTGAGAGTAATCATTTCTGCCTCCAAAACAATTTCCTACTGCTGTTTCAAATTCCTCTGACTCAGCCAAAACATTCACATGACCATCAACTACATCTTCATCCATAACAAAATGGACCCAAGGGGACACACTTTGAATGTTTATCAAAATGACATGACTTTCTCTCCCCCTGGAAGAAATTTAACCAAGACATTTGGGTAGTCTTATAACAAAACCTATAAAGTATTTTTCAAAAAATACTTTCATAGCCCAGTTCAAAAAGGCCCAATTCTTTCCAAGTTGTCATTAAGGTCTGACCTAATAGAAATCCAAGCAGAAGCAATTACAACTATATCTTTAATTTTATGGTAAATTTGAATCTGTACAATCAGTATTCTTTTTTGCAAGAACGTTTCATATTAATAAATATCAACATCTGGCCCATCAAATGAAGCAATGAAATAACACTGACAGGCAATAAGACATTACTTCTTGTTTACTCAGGGTAAGTGCTAGAAATATAAAACAGTAAAATAAGTTTATTTCAAGTCTGTGCTTTAATAATGATATTTATCAGTCTACTTATTCAGAGAATTATTTGATGCATTTGTCTGACTCTATCACAAAACTATGCTATAGGGCAGTGATGGTGAACCTATGACACGCCTGTCAGAGGTGACACACGAACTCATTTTTTTGGTTGATTTTTCTTTGTTAAATGGCATTTAAATATATAAAATAAATATCAAAAATATAAGTCTTTGTTTTACTATGGTTGCAATTATCAAAAAATTTCTATATGTGACACGGCACCAAAGTTAAGTTAGGGTTTTTCAAAATGCTGACACGTCGAGCTCAAAAGGTTCGCCATCACTGCTATAGGGGGACTTTATCTTATCCAGCTTCAATTCTCCCACAATACCATTAATATAGTGCGCACAGGTGCCCCCAATACTTTGAAATCTATTTCCTTAAATACAAGAATCATTGCTTAAATCTTATTTTGCCTTGGTTTGCTGAATGAAGACCCAAACCACTGATTTGAAGGTAGGCAGGCAAAAGGATATATTAAGCAAACTTAATCAATATTGAGAATAAATTTTATTTTACTATTTTTTTATTTTATTTTCTAATCCTTAAGAAAGAGGGGAAGGCAGAGAGATAATATCGATGTAAGAGAAACACATCAACTGATTGCCTCCTGTATGAGCCCCGACCAGGGCCCTGGCCGGGGAAGGTACATGCAACCAAGGTACATGACATTGACCAGAATTGAATCCAGGACCTTTCAGTCTGCAGGCTGATGCTCTATCCACTGAGCCAAACTGGCTAGGGCAAGGGAATAAATATTTTTTTAAAATATATTTTTATTGATTTCAGAGAGAAAGGGAGAGAGAGAAAGATAGAAACATCAATGATTCATCACTGATCAGCTGCCTCCTGCACATCCCCCACCGGAGACCAAGCCTGTGACCCAGGCAAGTGCCCTTGACTGGAACCCTTCAGTCCACAGTCTGACACTCTATCCACTGAGCCAAACCAGCTAGGCAAGGGAATAAATATTTTTAGAAATTAAAACTCTTTTAGGGAAATTCAAATCATAGAGCTTAAGTTCAACAAAAGGGAATACAGGTTAAAATAGTTGCAAATTATTGGTTTAAACTCAACATGTAAAATTCTAGTTTTCCTGAAACATGGTAGTCAAAGATGACCATGGCCATAAACTTGCTTTCAAGAACAAGACTGTTAGGGGGAGGGGTTTATGGTTAGTGTGCCCCTCCAATTACATCAACACTTTCTGTTTTAAGCGAGAAGCATGAGATCATTCTCATTTAGTTCCCACTTGAAAAGAAGGTGTGACCTTATCTATGGAATTGGGTCTGTTCTTGTCTGCTCTACTCCATTCTGCTGTCTTTTTGGATTACACAATCTGTTGTAGAACCAATCACAAACAGTTTACACTCTTCCCCAATACTCTGTATTTGCTCATTTCTCCTTGGATTTCTCAGTTTTGTTTTTTATATTTATTGTTCTGATACTTGACAAATATATTTTATCAGTATACCTTTTACCATGGATTATTTGGTGTCTCTTAATATGTGTTAATTTTTTGTTGTTAATCCTCACCCAAGAACATTTTCCATTGATTTTTGGAGAGAGTGGGAGGGAGGGGAAGAGAGAGAGAGAGAGAGAGAAAGAAACACTGATGTGAGAGAGACACATTAATTAGTTGCTTCCAGAATGCACCCTGACTGGGGCCAGGGATTGAGCCTACAACCGAGGTATGTGCCCTTGACTGGAATCAAATCTGAGACCCTTTAGTCCTTGGGGTGACGCCCTATCCATTGAGCCAAACTGATGAGGGCAATAGTGTTAGTTTTAAAATAACGTTGGTATTATCAACCCCATTTTCTTTTTTTCCCCTCTAAGAACTTAATCCTTGCTCCTTCTCCCAACTATTGCTATATATGCTACAGCTTTTGCTTTAAACAGTTAACTGCCACAAGTCCAAAACGGAAACCATCCCCACACGCCACAATATTTTGAATTTAATTTAAAAAATCAACTTGCAATGAATATTATAAAAATAAATATATTACTCACAATTCGGGTGTTCTTGAATATTTTCAGCTGAAAATTCTCACGAAAAATGATTTTAAAGTTGGTCAGGGCCACTTAGGGAAAACAGTTTAATAGATGCACGTGTGGGAGGGTCCACAGTTTGCGTCTACAGATGCTTATGGCGTACAATGGGTTAAATGTGAGTTCTGTAAACAATTTAATTGGGATCTTAATCCAATCTGTGACTACACAGTCTTTGGGTAGATTAATTTTAGATATTCATATTTCTCTTTTAGCTGATAAATTTGCTATTTTCAAAAATAAAAATTCAAGGTTAAATTGCTCAAGATTAGGAGAATAAAGAGTTCCTAACTCATCCCTCTAAGGTGAATGGGAAGGGGTCAAGGTGAATATACTAACACTAGAGGCCCCGTGCGGTGGGGGTGGGGGTATCCGTCAGCCCGCCTATACCATCTGCAATCCGGGACCCCTCAGGGTATGTCCGACTGCTGGTCCCTCTCGCAATCCAGGACCACTGGCTCCTAACCACTCACCTGCCTGCCCGCCTAATGCCCCCAACTGCCCTCCCCTGCCGGCCTGATCTCGACCCTAACTGCTCTCCCCTACAGGCCTGATCGCCCCTAACTGCCTCTGCCTCAGCCTCCACCACCATGGCTTTGTCTGGAAGGATGTCAGATGTCCGGAAGATGGCCAGTCGAACCAGTCCAATTAGTAATTACCCTTTTATTAGTATAAACAATATAGATGAATCTTAAAATAATTATACTGAAGGGAAGCCAGACCAAAAGAAAATTTCTTGCATTTATATAAAATGCAAAATAATCTATGGGGATAGAAAATAGATCAACAGAGTTGCCTGGGGCTGGTGGGAGGAACACATGAATTGAAACTAGATAACTTTTGGAGGTGATGAGTATGTTTATTATTTTTATCGTGTTGATAATTTCATGGGAATGTCAAACTTATCAAACTGTACACTTTATGTGCAGTATATACAGTATTCTATATCAATTACTTCATCACGGAGCACTCATAAAAGGAACCACGGTTCTTTGGATGTGTGGTTTATTCCCAGGCCTGTGTGGGTGGGAACAGACAGATTCCAGAAATGTATTTGACCAGTAAATGTGAAAGTAGAAGCCCACAAAATTCTGGAGATTATTTAACATGTTTTGTGATCACTTAGGGAAGAAAGGGGAACCAGAATGAGTCAATTATGAACAAATCATCCTAAACTAACTTCATTTCCTGTTTTGATAGGGTTACCACAACAACACGAGAGTGATGCCAGAGTTGTGGTAGATTCAAACCTCACTTGTTAAGCACTTCCTATTTGTGAGACTTCGTGTTAGGACTGGTGGCAAAAACAAATAATGATCCCAACTCTTAAGAAGCTTGCAATTTAATGAGGGAAGGAGGCAGGAACAGACAACATACATACATACTGCCTTTATCATAGTAAAACACATCTGAAACACCGGAAAAGCTGGGTAGATTAAGTCCAAATAAGGGTTTTAAGGAGAGGATTACAAGATGAAAGGCGAGCAGGCTTTCAAAAGAGGAGCAAGGTTATAAATATAAAGAAAGGCAAGGGCCACCACATGGAGAGGAAAATGAGCAGAACATACATGGGAATGACTGGCCCTCACCCAGCCATGCCCCTCCTCATGAGGTAGTTTATGGGATCCAGGGAACATGCCCATCAGTAGCTCAAGAATCCACCTGTCTCCCAAATTGGCTTCCAAGGCTGTGTGTATCTCCTGCACAATGGCTCTGTTGAGCAGAATGATCCTCCAGTGTGTGCACAAGGGGTAACCAAGGGGCAGCATTTGCAGG